GAATGCACATTCAATGGCTTGTAATCACATGCAAATGGGAGTTTTTCGGTTGATGGTGAATTATGTACATTTGGTTGATGTTGGCTTATACTGTTTATGAGGTGGATATGGAGGTGGATGTGTTTATGTTGAAGGACGTAGATATGGTGGTGAAGGGTGGTTGGTGCTTAGATGTGGTGGAGAAGGGAGGTTGGGGCATGGATGTGCGGCTGAGGTGGAAGTGTTTGAAGGTGGTGATTGGATGTCCGTGTGGTTGTGAATGTGTTGGTGATGGTGGATGTGTTTGTGTGTGGGTGAGGCGGCGGTGAGTATTTTCAGCGTGGTTGTGGACGTGTTGGTGATAGTGGATGTGTTTGGAGGTGGTGATTGTGTGATTGTGTATGTGTTGGTTAGATTTGTTGGTGTGTGGAGGTAGTAGTGTTGAAGATGTGTTGTGTGTGTGGAGGTGGTGACAGCAGTTATGTGGAGGTGTTGTGATGGTGTGGTGTGGAGGGGGAGTGGCAATGTTATTGTGCTTTCTAAGTTGTGTTAAAAAACTTTTATGGGAAATGTTTATGTTGATTAGCTTTTTTCATGATAGTATACACAATGGCTAAAACCAAAGAGGTTGGTTCATCTGCAATGTGGGGTACGGATAGCAAACTGATATTTTGAAACTGATGCCTCAAAGAGATCGAGAAGGGAAATAAGCCCACAAACTATTTAAACAAGAAAGTCTGGCAAAATATCATAAAAAATTTAAGGAAAGTACAGATAGAGAGTACGGTTGAATGTAGTTGAAAAACAAGTAGGATCAGCTGAAAAAGTATTGAAAAATCTGGAAGGGATTAAAACAAGAAACCACGGGCTTGGGTTGGGATTCGATAAAGCGAACAATTGATGCTTCCGATGAGTGGTAAGCTAAGAAACTGACGGTGAGCACTTTTCAAATGTCTGTTGTTTTTGTTCATTTTTTTTAATTTTTTTCAAGTCCATTAACATGTCAATTGAATTTGTAGGTGGTGCTAGCCGCTAAAAAAATTAAATGCAGTGGCACCAATCCTGCGCTGGAAGAGAAGTAAATCGTATGTTTGGTGGTATCGTGGCCACGAACAACAATACATGTGCCCCTAGTGAGGCGAGGTTTGGTGACACCCTTGTAAATTTAGCAGCTGACCAAACAGGTGATTCTAACAAAGGCTTCAGCCTGATCCGCAATGACCTCGAATCCACTAGCCAATCAAAGCGGTCCAGACTTGAGAAGAAAAAAATGTGAGAGTTGCTTTCATTAGAAGTCAGATATCATAGTTGATGGCTTCATGCACCAATGACCCTGACCCACAACAAGTAACATTCATCCAGCAGGTTACGTAAATTCTAAAGGCAACTCAAGAAACTCACGAGAACATACCGTTGTATTTGATCTCTATGTAATTACTTGGAAGATTCGATCCAAAGATAGTTTTTATTACGATAGTCGCTGACCGTAGGGTGGATTACCTACATTA